CCGGAGGCATCCCCGGCTGCTTCTTTACCAGGATCGGGATGAAATGGATGATGGGTTTGGGATGCAACCATTTGGCAACAGACACAGCTCCGAACGGCCTTGGTGCCAGCAACGGTAGCTGCTCCTGCTGTTCGGAAAGTCTTTATTGCCTGATCACGTTGGGATATAGAGAAGTCCTTAGTGACTCCAGCATAAAAGCAGTGTCAATAAGAAGGACTTCAGCTGTTGTGCAAGAGAATTTGCTGTGCGGGAGTTGCGGGCGGACCGTGACAAGCTTCCTGTTTCTGCCCCAGTGCTAGCTGGGAGCTTTCAGAACAGGAAGTTAGATGGAGTTAGGCCGAGTTCGGCTTAAATGCCTGCCGGGTGAGGCCTTTTCTCCCAGGCGAGCCACATTGAGAAATCTGGAAGAGGTGTGTTACTCAGGCAGAAGTTGCAGAATTAGAGGATTTCTAGTCTAAGAAGTCTGAAAATCTCACCCCTGCTGATGCAGCCCTGAGAACAGTGAGATTTAGAATGGGCACCTCATCATAAGGGTTAGGACTTAAGCATGCTAAGGGGTACAATCTTCAAAAATCATCTGGGCAACATGTTCACGGATCACGCTGGCTGAAAATTTGAGGAGAAAAAATTAAAAATCGGGGGGGGAACGAACTTTTCCAGGTCATGTGATGGAATCTAGTACTTTGGTATTAAAACCTAGCAGTTTGAAAGCATGCAAATGCGAGTAGATAAATAGGTACCACTTCGGTGGGAAAGTCATGGCGTTCTGTGTCTAGTCGCGCTGGCCACGTGACCACGAAAATTGTCTTCAGACAAACGTTGGCTCTACGGCTTGGAGACGGGAATGAGCACCATGCCCTAGAGTCGAACACGACTGGACAAAAATTGTCAAGGGGAACCTTTACCTTTTAAACCCCAAATCCTGAGAAATTCCCACAGTTCCACAGCTAGAATCCCACAACTCATAGCTCAGTGACTCTGAGATTCTGGAGAATTTACTCCGATACCCCACAAAAGCATCAGATACATCTGCTTTTATTAACATGAATTTTAACATTCCAGCCTTGCCCAGAGATTTAGACAATATGGCCGGGATTTCTTGATCAAATGTTTGATAATATGAATGCTGTCAAGGCAAAACAAACAAACAAACCCGTAGCCCCCTAATATACCCTCAAGAGCTCCAGTTAATAGCAGGCATTTTAAACTGCCGTTCCCTGTCACTGTTTCTCTGCAAAGCTTATACGTGGCCAGCTCCTTTGTTGTGGAGAAAAAGCATCTTAACAAGTGGAAATAATTTTTTGCTCTGCAGTGGTTGCTCTCCGTTGCCCTTGTGTAAGGGTAGAGAGAATAGAAAAATTTGCTGTGCGGGAGTTGCGGGCGGACCGTGACAAGCTTCCTGTTTCTGCCCCAGTGCTAGCTGGGAGCTTTCAGAACAGGAAGTTAGATGGAGTTAGGCCGAGTTCGGCTTAAATGCCTGCCGGGTGAGGCCTTTTCTCCCAGGCGAGCCACATTGAGAAATCTGGAAGAGGTGTGTTACTCAGGCAGAAGTTGCAGAATTAGAGGATTTCTAGTCTAAGAAGTCTGAAAATCTCACCCCTGCTGATGCAGCCCTGAGAACAGTGAGATTTAGAATGGGCACCTCATCATAAGAGTAGGGACTTAAGCATGCTAAGGGGTACAATCTTCAAAAATCATCTGGGCAACATGTTCACGGATCACGCTGGCTGAAAATTTGAGGAGAAAAAATTAAAAATCGGGGGGGGAACGAACTTTTCCAGGTCATGTGATGGAATCTAGTACTTTGGTATTAAAACCTAGCAGTTTGAAAGCATGCAAATGCGAGTAGATAAATAGGTACCACTTCGGTGGGAAAGTCATGGCGTTCTGTGTCTAGTCGCGCTGGCCTGGCCA